GGAGGCCACCGAGGCAGAGGAGGAGGAGGAGGAGGAGAGGAGCAGCGCGGTCATCTCCCCCAGCGCGCCGCTGCCAGGCTTGAGTGCCTCCTCCGTGACGCCCTCGCCTAGTTGATAGAACAGCTGCACTGCTGCCTCTGTCTCCGCGAACGTCGCGTGCGGCCCGCGTGCGAGCGCTGCGGCTAGGGTTTCATGGACGAACGCGCGCACGACGGCAGGGTTGACCTTGGCGGCGGAGCGCAGCAGCACGAAGAGGTCCTTGCGCTGTTCGCCCACGCGCTCCTCCTCCTCCTCGCCCTCCTTTGTCGGTGCATCTAACGCCTCACAGCTGCTCTCAGGGTACCTCATCCGCTCCCCCACTACCAGCAGCACCTGCCGCAGTTGCTGCTCCTGCCGCTCTCTCACCGCTGCCGCCGCCGCGTCTGCTGCTCCGGCGGCTGCTGCGGTGGCGGCGAGCGCCGCGGCGCCTCTGCTGCTGGCGCCGCCGACGCGGCGCATGTCAGCGACGAAGAAGAGGAGGAACTGGAAGCAGTTGGCGGACACGTCCTCGTCGGGGTGCCTCTGCGCCAAAAAGAACACGGCCGGCAGAATGGAATCCAGCATGCCCTGCGCCGCCGCCGTCGCCGCCACTGCTACTGATTCAGACGCCTCCCCGCCTCCCCCGTCCCCCGCGCCCGCGCCCTTCCCGTCTTCCATCCCGAACCCCTGCAGAACCCCCTCCGCCCGTCCGCCCCCGCCACCCCCCGCCTCGAGTTTCTTGATGCACTCCATGATCTCGGTGGCGGCGCCCGTCAGCAGCTCCGCGAGGCGCAGCGTGAGCCCCTCGTCCGCGCGCGCGATCTCCTCCACCACGCGCACGCCCGCCACCTGCGCGATCTGCACGCGCTGCAGCAGCGCCACCTTGCTCACGGCGTCCATGCGCTTGTTCACTATAGCGAGGATGCACCCGCACGCCGCGGATCGCAGGCGCACGTCGCTGGTGTGTGCTGCTAGGAGGCCGAAGAGGAGCGGCAGCCAACGGGAGTCCGCGACAAGCCCGATGTCTATCCATGCCACGTACGGCTGTAGCGTTTCCAGCAGCGCCGCTACAGATGCCGCCGCGTCGTCCCTGCTCACCGCGCTCCCCCTCCCGTCCCTCAACACCACATCTCCCCCTCCCCCGCCCACACCGTTACTGCCCGGCATCCCACCCTGCTCTGCCCCAGCTCCTCCTCCTGCTCCCCCCGCCCCCAGCGCCGTTAGCAGCGCGACAGCGGCGCAGTACCAGGCGTGCACGAGCGGCGCAATGCAGCCCTCGCGCATGCCGTCCTTGACGCGCATGGCGGCGGCCGACTCCTCCGCCGTGCGCGCGTACTCGATGCTCAGCACCTCCTGGTCCAGCGCCGCCAGCACGCGGCACGCCATGTCCAGACTCACCACGCTCCACGCGCCCGCGCCCTCCGCGCCACCCGCTTGCGCCATGGAGCTGGTGGTACCGCCGGCGGCGGAGGCTTGGGGGTTGGCCGCTGCGCCGACCGCCATGAGCGCGGAGACGATGGGGTCGAATGCGGTGTGCCACGGTGTGGGGTAGTGCAGGCGGATAAGCAGCACGATCACCTGCGCCACCTTGTTGCGGATGAATACCGGCCATGACGCGCACAGCGGCACCCCCCCGCCCGCTTGCCCTCCTGCCTGCGCATCTGCCATGCCCTGCGGCCCCCCCGCCCCTGGCATCAGCCCTGACATCAGCCCTGATCCCACGGGACACCTGAAGGCTACCGCCATTAGGGTTTCGCGGAGCTCCGCCAGCGCTTCGGGCGGAAGAAACTCACCCTCCGCCCCTGCGCCAGCGCCGCCGTCGCCAGAAGATACCCCCCCCGCGGGCTGCGGCTGGCCGTCCGCGCGCAGTCGCTGGCGCAGCAAGAGCTCTTCGAGCGCCTGCAGGCACCAGAACTGCACCTCAGGGTAGCTCGACGAGATGAGCCGCTCCACGCACACGCGCCATAGCTGCGGGGAGCGCCGAGCCTCCGCGCAGAACGCGTGCGCGCGTGCGCGGAGCGAGACGTCGACGGCTCCTGATTGATCGAAGCTGAAGAGAATGGCCCGCTCGAGATCATCCATGCCCCCCTGGTGGTAACCCGATCGTTTCTACGTGGTATTGCGGTCCCTGTGTCTCTGCTGCCGTCGACCGTTGCTATTTTCCCACGTCTGCCGTCCCCCCGCTCCCACCCTCCCCCACTGTTGCTGCTGCACCCCTCTGACCCTGGTTCCAGCCACGGGACAACAGAGTGAACTACCCCATACGAGGCGCTGTGGAAAAACCCCAGGGGGGGAAGTGGAAAGTGAATGTCACAATAGACCTATCGGCGACATCTGCGAGGTCGGGAAGGAAAACCCCGGCGGAAGTACGGTACGCTTGATAAGGTTTGCGACAGGATGAAGGGTGCTCAAGGACAATGGGGAAGAAGATAGCAGAGCCTTGAACGGGGACTCCTGGCAGATCTGCAATCACGGGGTAAACGCGAGACGATCTGCTCTTCTCTTCGACACTCCTTGTCCGCTTCCGCGTAAACAAGGACTGGGTGTGGTCGGGCCTGGGTCGCGATCCAGTTTCAGCCGCGACGCCTCACTCTCAAACCTCCCTGATGCTGATCGGATGCCGCTCCCTCCGCTGAATCTACCTTGTGTGTCGACTAAACACGATCCTCCAACACAAGCAGCAACCTCCCTGACCGTATATGGTCCAATTCTGCGCTTCCGTGAGATCACGTCACGGGTGAACCATGCGAAGACGACTCGAGGAGATGCTTCAGAGAGTGGAGGGAAAAAGAAGAGTAAGCTGCAGATTCAAAAAGCCTTTCGCACCTAGATATGGTAGGACACTGTCGGATTACAGGGACTAGCGTCAGGTGTTGCTAACTTGAGAATGATCAGGCAGAATCTGAGAACCCTGGGATTACATGGTCAGCAGGAGCGAGGAACGGGTGCAAGAATGTGATTTGAACCTATTGCCTGCCACCATACCTGACAAGCTTGCCACACAGAAAAGAGTGGCGGGAACTTGCGAACTACGCTTTTGTTGACAACACAAATGGCCGCTTTCGCAAATATTTCGCGAAAGGCAAAATGGCCCAAGCACCAACATCCATGCGACTGACGAGCGTCGCAAATGTGGTTACAGTCGCACGTATTCGACCACTAAACTTCGTTTCACAAGGATGTGCCATTCCAAAAGAAACTCCCAAGGTTTCGATGGAAGCTGACTCAAATATTAGCTACAAGCGCTATGCATGACCCGTACGTAACAAGCCTTGTATACGATATATGACATACTTTCTGTATTGCCGTTCAAACGTAGACTCGTGTAAATGTTCGTTACATAGTCATGAATCAAACTCGTGGATGCATTTATCAAGGATCAATGAGGCTTGAGTCCATAAAAGCAAAGGCAAAGAGCCTCAAATACAGTTGCTGGCTCCTACAACTCGTCATATAGCTTTGCCTCGGTATTTTTCAATGCCTTCATAAGCTATCGCGTATAGATGTGCGACATTGGATCTCCCCCAAGCAACCAGAGCACTTTTACTGCGAAAATCTGATGCGATGGAAACCAGCATTGCTGGCGGTCGCAGGCATCCTTCTAAGACGGCGATTCGGCGAGCTCCGTGAGGGCAGTGATCCAAAGGCGAGCAACTGCGCCTGGGGATTGTGCCGAGGGGAGAATGCCACCAACGGAAGATGCATTATCGCTGTGCGAACAATTCGCATAACCTTTTGTCCGTCGCTCAGGAATATGCCAGTAGGCAGATTTGCAGTGTGTTCTCCAACAATGGTTGGTACTGGCGGACTGCTTTCGGCTGCTGGCAGTCTCGAGGGTATACAGCACCTTCACTTTCTTGCCTCGAGAACTCCGCCTTGCTTCACTTCTGTCCATCCAGTCACTTGTCCGGCTCTGGTCATCTCCATGGTGGTTGCTTGATCATATAGAGCGTGTAAGTGGTGTGGCCAGACGCCTAACAAAGTAGTTCCCAGTGACGACGGTAACTCGTATTGCTCTGCCTAATCTGGTGCGGCGGTTCCAATCAGTGGCTTCTATTAGTTTATCTGCCTCTTGCCATCAGTCGCTGATTCAAAATAATTTCAGCATAACCTGGCATCGCTAGTAACAGTTATTATGCCGTTTCTATGACTGTTTTGACAAGTTCTGTTGCCTCGAGAATGTCCTGATCGATCTGGACTGTTCGTCAATCAGCGGTTGCAGTACTTTGGAAATGGGTGATTGCACGGTTTCCCTGGCGAGAGGTTGCATGAAGGATGAATGTGATATGCGGGGAAATTTGGCCGGAGCTCCGGAAACGAGTGTACTGACGACGCCCGACCAGGCCGGGGAGGGCTGGCCTCTGCTACAGTCAGAGTCGTACAAGCTCGCGTGCCAGGAGGTCGAGTTAGCCGACAGCCGTGCGATTGCTCTTCAGGATGGTCATGCTACAAAATCAACGGACGCTGTTGAGATTACAATCGACGGTCCAGAACTCAACATCAGCGAGACGAGTTATGGCAAGGAGAGCAGCAGCAGCACTGGGTGGGGCATGGGCTTTATTGCAGGAGATGCCAGCACTACCACCACTACGGGCAACACGAGGGCCGAATGTGACTACAACGAAGTGAACAGCCCTCTTCCACCTGGTCCTTCGCAGCACGATAGAGTTGCTATTCCGGTGCGTGATGACGGTACCAAGGCTTCGTTATTAACCGTCGTCGAACACCCTGCTTCAAATCCTAGCGGTCTGCCGGTCACACTACCACCCTCAACGGCTGACGTCATCCTGGACGAGTCGTCGCCGTCGCTACACGACATCGATCGCCATCCATTGTCGCCCTCGTCGTGCAGCGCCTGCACGTGCATTGGGGGATTTACGAGGGGAAATGGCACAGGAGTCGCCGATAGCAGCCAAGAGCGCGAAAACCCGGCGGAAGATGGACGGCTGGAAAGCGGAGGAGATTCATTGTTTGAAACGGAAATGGCTTTAGCGGCCGAAGCGGAGTCGAGTCCTCGAGTGGGTTCGGCGGAGGGTGGCCGCGGTCTACTGCGCGCGTGCGGACTGATAGGAGGAGGCGCGGTCTCCGCTCAGCAGGGCAACCCCGCGCCTCAAGGCCCGAGGAGAGGCGGTAGGAGGAGGCGGAGGGCAGATGCGGCAAGAGAAGCAGAGGAGAGTGTGATGGAAGGCGAAAGCGGCGAAGTGGAAGAGGAAGGTCCCGAAAACCGTCGTCCACTGTCTGTGGTGATTCACGGTCCCGGCGCGTCCTTCTTTGTGGGCACGGAGTTAATCGCCGCTGGCGGGCGCGCGCGCGCAGATGGCGCGAGGGGAAGCGGGGGGGCACAGGGCGACCGCGTTGCTCCTGGCGGATCAAGGCGGGGAGCTGAGAGCGCGCAGGTGGATGGTGCAGACAGCGGAGAGGATATTCACAGTAACGAGTATGGCGATAGCGAGTATGACAGCAGTGAAATGGAGCAGGAGGAAGAGGGGGCGAGGAGGAGGAGAGGGAGGAGGAGAATAGAAGTGTTGATGGATCGGTGCAGAGGCGGGGTGGATGCTGTGGTGCGGTGGGGACGCAGCACGCGACAGCACCTGAGAGGCACGAGAGGGTTGGCTCGTGGTGGTGCTGGCACGTCAGCAGCAAGAGGTGGAGGTACTTCTGACTCTGGCGATGCTGATACCGAGAGTGACTATGACGAGCGTGATTCGGAGGATAGGGAAAGGGGCTGGGCGCCTTATGATGAGTGTGACGAAAACGAGGGGTATTGTATGGAATGCCGGAGGAGCGCTGATGGGGAGCAAGGAGCAGAGGCGGGGAAGAGGCAGCAAGGATGCGCACATGGGAGTGTGGGGGGGAATGGGGACGGGGCTGAGCAGGAGGATGGAGGGGAGAGCGATAGCAGCGCTGTGAGCTGCAGCAGCGGGTACAGCAGGAGCAGTGGTGGGGAGAGTAAGGCGAGTGCAGACAACGATGGTGACGGTGCCGAGGCCGCGCTGCTGGACTTCCAATTCGGTAAGCCTGCTCCGCGCCCAGGGGGCTGTGCTGTTACTGCTCCACCTGCTTCCATAGAACACTAGTGGTGCTGTCCGTCCCTAACACCCTCTGCTTGCCACTCCTTTTCGTGCTTCCGTGCTTCCATAGACCCCCCTCCCCCCTCCCTCGTTCAACCTTGCCTCCTCATCCGCCTCCCCTCCTCATCACCTCCTCTTCTCCTTGTTTGCGTGCAGCTCCGTTGAGGGAGGCGTCAGGGCAGGCGGAGGGCGACATGTGGGTGGAGGCGGTGCACGTGGTGCTGCCCCCTCCGCCTGCCAGTGCGAGGGGCGGGTGGGAGGGAGTGGACGTGGCGGGCATGGAGGCGATATTCGACCCGCGGTGTGTCAAGTGGTTCCAGCGCGTGAAGCGCCTCTTCATTGCGCTGCTGCTGCTCGGCTCCATCTTCTACATCGTCTCCTTCATCGGTCCGTGCCATGCCCTGCCCCTGCCCCTGCCCCCGCCTGCCTCTCCACCTCGCTTGCTCTCAAGCGTTGCCTGCTGGCGAGTGGACACTGTTTCATGCAGTCAGATTTTGTTAACAACTCGCTCTTGGCTTCGTCGAAAAACAGCATTTCGTGCGCTACACTTCCCTGACTGTGTGATGCAACGCACATTCTCCAGCACTGCTTTCGTTCCCTGCCATGCGCTGCTTTCTAATGTGGCGCCAGTGTGTGCTTGGTGGCAGCAAACCGCTGAGGTGGATTCAAACTAGCACACGGCAAGACAGCGCTCAAAGAACTACACCTCTTCCGTGTGCCCACCTCCCTGCACCCTCCTCCATCTATCCCGTGCCGACTGCAGCGGGAGTGATGTCGAACCGAGGCAAGAGCGTGGAGGTGCTGCCGGTGGACACGGGTGCGACGGGCCAGGGGCAGGCGGCGGCGGCGGGGGGCACGGGGGGGCTGGACACAAACTTTGACTATGTGTCGCACGCCATGCTCACCTCCTCCAACATCTGGGTCGCCATGGCCTACCTGTCAGCCACACTTCGCCCCCTCTCTCTCGTTTCACCACCTCCCGCATACTTGATTTACTACTTGATGCACCAGTTCGCCCTCCTGGCCCCCGTTGCTGCACGATCCTACCAAAACAACTCTTCACCTTCCTCTCTCCCATTCGCTTTCCCCCTCCATTCACCCCACTTCCCACGCTCTTCCCCTCGCCTTCCCTCCCCCCACAGGGTGCTGTACCTCTCACTGGACATGATCGGCTTCGCAGGAGCCATCCTCGAGAATGTGGTGAGTGCAGTGCTGGTCCATTCCACGCCCTCTACCACTTGCGTATCTCACACGCTCTACCCCTACCCTCATTCTGCCTGCCCACTCCCACTCACCCCCCCTTGTGCACCCCTGCCAATGTGATGCCAACAGTATGACCTCCATTTCCCACACAATTCCTTCCCTCCCTCATCCCTTCACACCCCCCCTTCCTCTCCCTGCCATCCCCCCCTCCCTCCCCCTCTCCCCCCCATGCCGGGCAGAGTCTGTTGACGCTGTACATAGTGGTGGAGCTCATCATCACATTCATCTCCGCGCTCGAGGCGCTGCGCCCCTTCCTGCTCTTCCGCCTCCTAGTCATCCTCCTCGCCCTGCGCCTGCGCTACTGCGCCCTCAAGGTGCGTGCCCTGCCCCACGCTCACCTCTCCTGTGCTGGACATCTTCTCATCTCATCGCCTGCTCGGCCCCGTTCGCCACTCCCTCCCTTCCCTCACTTCCTCCACGACCATCCATCCACCATCCTCACCCCTCCCTTTCCCCATATTCTCCATCCATGCACATCTCCATCCATGCACATCTCCATCCCTCCCACTGTTGACTCGCACCAACATCCACCTGTGCCAACTCCTCTCCCCCTTCGATGCCCGCTGTGGTGCGCTCCAACAGGTGGAGGATGCGGAGAGGCGCCTCTTCTCGCGCCTCATGGGTCGCCCCATGCCTCCCCCCAACAGACGCACCTGGCTCGCTGTAAGCGCTCCACTCCACCTGCTCCCCCCCTGCCCTTCTCCCACTCTCATCCGCCCCCCCACCACCACCGCGCACGCAGCCTCTCTCGCCCCTCTCTTACGTACCCTGCCCCCTCCGTTTTTACCTTGCTGACTCAGCACCATCCCGCTTCTGCCACGTGCTCACGCGCCTCCTCTCAAACGCGTGGCCGCTCACATCCCTCCCCCACCTCTCCCCTCCTTCCCCCCCCTCCCCTTTCCCCCTTCCACCAGCGTCTGGGCATATTCCCGGGCACGCTGTCAGCCATGTTCCGCCACGCGCCGCTGAGCCGCTTCCAGCTGCGCGGGCGGCCGTGGTATGCTGAGCTCGTGCGCCTGCACGCCCTGCGCCTGCAGCACCTGCAGCAGCAGCAGCAGCTGGCTCAGGCGCAGGCCCAGGCTCAGGCGCAGCAGCGGCAGCTGCAGCGGGAGCGGCGACGGCGGCAAGAGATGCGATCGCAGCGACGACACCAGCGGCAGCAGCGGCAGGAGTGGCAGGAGCAGGCAGCAGAGCAGAGGCAGCAGGATGGGCAGGTGGATGTGAGAGGTGGTGGTGTGGAGGAGCGAGTGGAGAGGGGAGGGGCTGTGGAGGCGCAGGAGGGGAGGCAGCAACAGCAGGTGGCGGTGGTGGTGGAAAGCAGTGTTGCTGGACAGCAGGTTGCTGGGGAGCAGACGGATAGAGGTGCTCCCGTGGTCCCCCACCCCCACTCCCATCACCATCACCACCTCCACCACCACCATCACCATCACTGCCATGAGCATGAGATGCAACAGCAGCAGCATGCACATGGTGAGCAGCAGCATCACCACCACCACTGCCACCACCACCATATCCAGCAGCATCCGAACTTGCTCTCCTCCCAAGCCAATGTTGAGCAGCAGAAGCAGGGCGTGGGGGAGGCAGCAAGGGTTGATGCTGTAGGCGTTGAGGTGTGCGGGCAGGAACAGGAACAGGTGGCGCAGCAGCAGCAGCAGCAGCAGCTGCAGCAAGAGGAGGATGTGAAGGAGGGTGCATTGGAGGCAATAGGCGGGTCAACAAGTGACCCGGGCAGTGCTGACAGCAGCTGCACTCCCTGCCCTCATGCTGCTGCTGTTGCTGCTTGCAATGCTCCTGTGCCGCTACTGCCAACAGCAGGCCCGCGCACAGGCACAGCAGGCGTGGTGGCGGTGGAAGCAGACGAGACTCCCCTGGGCAGCCCAGGCGCGTCTGAGCACTTCAGCATTGACATCACTGACACGCCCCTCACACCTCACACCCAGGTTGAACCAGAGCAAGCAGCAGAGGCAGCAGAGGAGGAACGGGAGAGTGATGCTGCCCTGGCAGCACAGCTGCTGCTGCCGCCCCCCTTCCCCCTCGTGCCTCACCTCCCCGTCCCCCGTACTCCCTCCTCCTCCCTCCCGCCCTCGCGCTCTGTCTCCCTCACCCACCAACAGCAATCCACTGATGCAGACCTGCCCGCCTCGCCCTCTGCTGCTATGCTCCCTCCTGCCACCTCCTTCACCCTCATGTCCTCACCCCTTCCATCTCTCCCCTCTACTTCCGCTTAACATGCCGTATTTATCCTCCCCTTCCTCTAGGCGGGCCCCCCTTGCCCTAACTGATGTGTGGCATGCCGTGTGGCAAATGACCACTCTGCTGGGTGAAGGCTCTCATTGCAACAGCCTCTTGCTGCTTTGCGATGCAGTTACCATGGTACCAGCAGCCCAGATCGTAGACTCTGGTACAAGGAACCTACTGCTGCTGACTTGTCTTGTGACTGCTATGCTACGGAATTGACAAATGGTCAAACAAGTTTGACTAACTGCTTGTCTTGTTCATTGCACCTTCACCAATATTGTGTCTGACGCTTTATATTTTCATGTGTTATCTAAATGCGTGGGAATGACGACGACCAATACTGGGGAAACAGATCACTGCATGCAGGGCGCAGAGGCGCTGTCTTGAGCAACACAAACATCCCTCCCTGCTCTTGAGGATGCACTAGTGTGCCCACCAGGCGGCTGGGCAGCATTCGGCAGCCGGGTGTGTAGCAGGGTGGTCATATGAATGAGAGGCGCGTGAGGGATGAGGTGAGGAGTCAGGAGAGGCAGGGGGGGCGGGGAGGCAGCACCTTGCCGGGGTTGAGGATGCCGTGGGGGTCGAGAGCGTCCTTCACTGCCTGCATGGCCGCCACTGCCCCCGCGCCCACTTCTCTCTCCAGGTACTGTGTCTTGCCCACGCCCACCCCGTGCTCCCCCGTGCACGTGCCTGCATGGCCATGGGGGCATGGGCATGGGATGGGGGAGGCCGTGAGGGGAGGATTGTTGTATGGGCGGACGGGGTAATGTGGGGGGATGTGATGAGTATTGCATGCCGTGAGTGAGGCTGCCACATGCTGAGAAGCAGGGGGCAACGGGACAGAGAGGGAGACAGTTACAGCTCGCCATGACTCACAAGCCACGCCTCGCTGCCACAACACAGCATGCAGTGCTATGCAGCTACCACCCCACTTTCCACACCACCCTGCCCTTTCCTCTCCCCCCTCCCCCTCCCTCACCCCTCTCGCACACCCACCATCCATGGCGAGCGCGCGGAGAGTGATGGCAGCAGAGAGCGCCTTGGCTTCAGCGGTCTCCTCGGCGCTGGAGGGGTCAAAGAAGATGCACACGTGGAAGTTGCCGTCGCCCGCGTGCGCCAGCATGGGGCACGGCAGGGCGGAGCGCTGCACGTCGCTCTTTGTGGCGTCCATGCACTCTGCCAGGCGTGACAAGGGCACACACACGTCCTGCTTGCACACAGACAAGAGGGCGAGGGGTGAGGAGTGGTGGGTGAGGGAGAGGGAGAGGGATTGGGGCAAGAGGGAAGGAGGGGCGAAGGGGGCGTACAGAGATAATGAAGACAGGGGGGCATGGCGGCATGGGTAGCTAACATGGGTCTTAGCAAAGCATGCAGAGAGGGATGGTAGTGCCACCACACTCATGAGGCGCTGTCACTCCCTCGCTCGCACAGCAACACAGCACACAGGCACGCACGGTGATAAGAGGTTCTGTCCCTGGGCGCAGCGAGTAAGCGGCCCACAGTGCCTCCTTGCGGGCGCGCCACAGCTCGCGCTTCTCCTCCTCGCCCTCTGCGAACCGCATCTCCTCCGCACCGTGCCGCTCTGCCACCGCCTTCACAGCCGCGAGCTGCTGCTCCAGGTGCTGCGGGGTCTCCGCTGTGACCTCGAGCATGAGCGTGGGGCAGTGCGGGTAGCAGTACCCATTGGCAGAGTTGAACGCGCCCACCATCACCTCGTCTAGTAGCTCCACTCGCGATGCCTGGAGGGGAGGAAGGCGTTGCGGGGAGTGTGGGAGAGGGTTACCTCATAACCGCCCATGGTCTCCACTTCTCACCTCCCCACTGCCATGTTTCTTCCACCCCCTCTCTCATCCTCACCACCCTCCTCCCCCGAACCACTCATCCCTCCCTCAACAGCCCCTCTCTCCCCTCATCGCCCCCTCCCTTCCCTCATCCCTGACCCCCCTTCCCCACACCACCCCCCTGTCCCACCTGCACGCCGCTGTGAACAGTGGCGATGGCAGCGTCAGCAGCGGCGCGGATGGAGGGGAAGGGGCACATGGCCACGGCGGAGAGCGGTGGGATGCGGTGCAGGCGCACGGTGAGCTCGGTGATGACAGCCAGCGTGCCCTCGGACCCCACCAGCAGCCGCGTCAGGTCGTACCCCGCTGCACTCTTGCGAGCGCGCGCTGCCGTGCGCACCACCTCGCCGTTTGCCAGCACTGCCTGCCGGGGGCAGGAGATGCAGTGTGGTGTGGTGTGGTGTGGTGTGTAGTGAGGGTGGGAGTGGGAAAGGGAAAAGGCAGAGAGAAAGGAGAAGTGGGAGTGGTGGGAGGAAGGAAGGGGGAGCAGTGGCAGTGGTGCCGGCAGGCTGGCAACAAGAGCATGCTCAAGTCCCATCGCATGGGGCTGTGAAAGCTCTCACACGCAGCACATGAAGCACTGTGCTCACCTGCAGCGAGATGACGTTGTCCCGCATCGTGCCGTACCGCACGGCCAGCGACCCGCTGCAGCGCGTGGCAGCCATGCCGCCTAAGGTGGCGCCGGGGCCGGGGTCGAGCGGGAAGAAGAGGCCCAGCGGGGCCAGGCGTGCGTTGAGGTCGCCCCACGTGATGCCCGGCTGCACCACCGCGTCCATGTCCCCCTCGTGCACTGCTAGCACTTGCTGTGGGTGGGACATGAGGGGGATGGCAGCAGTGGCGATGGGAGGGGTGGAGGGGGCAATATGGGATGGTAGTGGGCACATGCTCAGGCGCCTCAAAAGGCCACAGCGAATGGTGTGGCAACGACACCGCACGTGATTAGAGTGTTGGGGTATTGGTGGCAAACAGAAGCAAGGAGCAGGGAGCGCAGCGAGGCAGTGGGGATGGCATGTGAGCACTCACGTTCATGCGAGTCATGTTGATGCTGACTCCCCCCATGGGCGTGGTGGTGTGGCCCTCCAGGGACGTGCCTCCCCCATACGCCACCACCGGCACCCCATGCTCCGCACACACCCTCACCACTGCTGCCACCTGCTCCGTGCTCCTGATGCCATGCCATGCCATGCCATGCCAGCACACATGCCATGCCATGCCATGCCAGCACACATGCCATGCCATGTCATACCATGCCATGCCATGCCAGCACACATGCCATGCCATGCCATGCCAGCACACATGCCATGCCATGTCATACCATGCCATGCCATGCCAGCACACATGCCATGCCATGCCATGCCAGCACACATGCCATGCCATGCCATGCCAGCACACATGCCATGCCATGCCATGCCAGCACACATGCCATGCCATGCCATGCCAGCACACATGCCATGCCATGCCATGCCAGCACACATGCCATGCCATGCCATGCCAGCACCCATGCCATGCCATGCCATGCCAGCACACATGCCATGCCATGCCATGCCAGCACACATGCCATGCCATGCCATGCCATGCCAGCACACATGCCATGCCATGCCATGCCAGCACACATGCCATGCCATGCCATGCCAGCACACATGCCATGCCAGCACACATGCCATGCCATGCTATGCCAGCACACATGCCATGCCAGCACACATGCCATGCCATGCTATGCCAGCACACATGCCATGCCAGCACACATGCCATGCCATGCCATGCCAGCACACATGCCATGCTAGCACACATGCCATGCCAGCACACATGCCATGCCAGCACACATGCCATGCCATGCCATGCCATCAAGAAAGCAATCACGCATGCCGCACATGCCATCAAGAAAGCAATCACGCATGCCGCACATGCCATCAAGAAAGCAATCGCGCATGCCGCACATGCCATCAAGAAAGCAATCACGCATGCCGCACATGCCATCAAGAAAGCAATCACGCATGCTGCACATGCCATCAAGAAAGCAATCGCGCATGCCGCACATGCCATCAAGAAAGCAATCACGCATGCCACACATGCCAGGAGGGCTTGAAAGTAGTGAGGGCGTATGGTGGGTGGGGCATGAGGGGGCATGAGGGGGCATGAGCAGGGCAGAAACAGCAGTGGGGCAGCAGGGTGGGGGAGAGTGACCTGGGGAAGACAACAGCGGCGGGCAGGGCGGAGATGGGGTGGTAGCTGTTCCACGGCTTGGCGTGGCTCTGCCTCTCCTCCTTGCCCTCCTCCACGCCCTCCTCGCCCACCGCCGCCACCAGCCCCGCGCGCACCTCCGCGCTCAGGGCTCTCATCACCGCCCCGCGCTCTGCCACCCCCTCCCCTTTAAACGCTCCTTTCGCCGCTTCTTCCCCCTTCTCCGCGCGCACCGCCTCCTGCTCTTCTCTCTCCTCGCTTCCGCCCTTACCCCTCTCTGCGCCCTCGCACTCCGTGAGCGCCGCTGATCCTTCCTCCGCCACTACCGCGGCGGCTATAGCCGCCGCAGCGGCGGACAGCACTGCGCCAGCATGTGTCAGGGGGGAATTCCCCCCTGCTGCGCCCCTGAGCGCGGGTAACGCGCTGATGCGGAAGGAATGCGCGGGGGTAGCAGCCAGGGGGGCGGGAGGTGGGGGCGCGGAGAGCTCAAGCAGCGCGGGTGTGCGCGCTGTGCCCGGGGCGATGTCGCTGCGCGCATTTGCGACTGCTGCGACGAATCGGCGTGCGACGGCGAGTGTGCTGCGATGATGCGGGCGAGGCATGCTGGCGATCGCGCGAGAGGACGGAGAGCGGGCGAGGGGAAGAACCGACGCGGACAGGTCACCGCGGAAAGAGGGGGGCGACGGGATTCATCCGCGGGGATGACGGCGCGCGCACCCAGCAGTCGCAGCGCGCGTTGGTGTAGTGTGCGCGCACGTGGATGGTGGGGTTGAAAGTAGTGACGGAGAGGGATGAGGGAGGGAGGGAGAGGGACTGCCAAGCATGCGACAGTAACAGATTCGCTATTGCAGTCGTATCCACAAATACACGCATGCTGCTTGCAGATTCTTATTTTGAAATGACCAAATCCAGCATTCACACACACCACACCCCCTCCCAACTATGACACATTCGCATTCCCACCCCGCACACCACCACTTCCCAAGCACCTCCCGAGCCGCACACGTGCCGTTGCGCGCCGATCTCTCAAACCCATTCACCAGGCCGGCCGTGCGACGCGACTCAACGAGCGCAGTCCTCGTACGCTGCCGCCACCTCCGGTCGCTAGCGTCGCGCTACTAGCCATGGTCACTCCTCGCCACCCCTCGCCGCCACTGTTTCCGCGCCACCGTACCCTCTCCGCCGTGCCGCCCATTGGCGCCCTTCCCGCATCCCCTAGGCTCTCCGCCTGATGCTTACGCGCACTAGTACTCCCTGCCGCGCGCGCTACCCCTCCCCGCCCACCATCCTCCCAGTCCGCCGATCCTTCCGCCCATGTCGTTCGCACCACCGCCGCCCGCTAACAGCACGTGCGGGGGCGGCGATGGGGGCGGGGCGGGCGGGGCGGGCGCGGCGTGGGGGCTGCAGTACCTGTGGAACGTGAGCGCGCCGGCCGGCGTGTGCTGCGTGGCGCTCTTCGCCGCCGTCAAGCTGCGCGCCGATCACCGCCTGCCGTCCGCGCGGCACGCGTGGCGGAAGCTGCGCGCGGTGTGGCACGTGACGGACGCGCAGATCGTCACGCTGTGCGGAGCGGACGCCGCCGACTACCTCATCCTGCTCGTGCGCCCCGCGCCACCCCCACTCACTTGTTCTCCCCCTTCTTCTCCCCGGCTCCCCCCTCCTTCCCCTTCAGTCTCCTGAACCACTTCCCCCCGCCGTTTCCCCCTCCCCTCCCCTTCCGCCTCCTCTCCCCTGCTCCCCCACTTCCCCCAATTCTTCCCCCAGCGCTGCACGTGCGCGCTCATCGCAGCGCTGCTGGTGCCCGCGATGGCGCTGCTGTTCCCCGCCAACCTGCGCGGAGCGGACTCCGCGGTGTGCGACTACCTGGCGGCCGCCACTATCGCGCACGTCGTGCCCGCCGCGCCCGCGCTCTGGCTGCACGCGCTCTTCGCGCTGCTGCTGCCCCCCGCCGTGCACCTCGCCATCCGCGCCTTCCGCCGCCAGCGCGTGCGCGCCAGGGCGGTGGCGCAGGGCAGGGACGAGGGCGGAGGAGACGCAGGGGGTTCGGGGAGAGCGTGGTCGGGGTGGGGAAGCGGGGGGCAGGGCAGCGGGGATGGGGAGAGTCCGCGGGAAGGGTATGCTGCCCTGCGCTGTGTAACCCGCCATGGCACTCCCGCTGATGGCGCTGATGGCGCTGATGGTGCTGATGGTTCTGATGGTGCTGCCGCCCTTGATAATGCTGTTGATGGCGATGATGACGTGGACATGACAGCGCATGACGTGGCAGAGTACACAATTCTCATTCGCGGAGTGCCTAGAGGCCTATCAGCCTGCCCTCAGGTGCCCTCTTGCTGCCCTCCGCCTTCTCTCACTCACTCACTCACTCTCTCACTCACTCACTCGTGCACTCCCATACTCACCTGCTCACTCACGCACACACGCACGCACTCCCGCGCACATCCATTCACCTGTCTCCCATTTCCACACCCCTCCCACCTCCCCTGCCTGTCCTCCAAACCCAACCCCGCCTCCCCTCTCCCCCAGCTACTGCTGGAGTATTGGGACCGGCTGTACCCGGGGAGGGTGGCGAGGGTGCTGCAGCCGCCCGACGTGGCGGCAGCGCTGGCAGCCAGGCGGCACGTGGCGGCCCTCACAGCCCGCCTCGCCCAGGCCCACGCCAGGGCCGCTCTGCAGGGCACCGCAGGTGTGGAGACAGGTGCTGGCGCGGGGCCGCAAGCACACGTGCATGCTGATAGTGGTGCTGACGTGGCGTCTGTGCACGAGCCACTCATCGCCTGGAGCGGCCGGCAGGGTCCAGCTGGCATGCAGCGATTGGATGGGAGGAGAGAGGAGGGGATGAGCGGAGGCGGAGGAGGGGAGCAGGAGGAGGGGGAAGAGGATGGGGAGGGAGGGGAGTTAGGGAGAGGGGGTTGTGGCAGTGGCACGGGTGGGGCAGGTGGGCCCGTGGCGTCCTCTCTGCTCGCGTGCCTTGGCCTCTTCCTGCCGCCCCACACTGCCCGCTCTGCAGTGCACTGCCTCTGCCTTTCCCCCATCACCGCCCTGCACTCGCTCTCCCTTTCCCTCTCGCACCTCTTCGCCACCCTGCGCACTCTCCCCCCCGCATCCCCTGCCTGGCTGTGGGGCATGGGGGTGCGCGACTGGGGGGAGGAGGCGCGGAGGCTGGAGGAGCAGGTGCGCAGGGCGGAGGGGGAGGCGCAGCTGTTGCAAAGGGGCAGGGGGGGCGGGGCGGGGGTGGCGCTGGTGGTGTTCCGCGATGCCTACACGGCCACGCGGGCTTTAAGAGACGCCCTGTGGGCCTCCCCCAGGTGGCGCCTCGCCCCCCTCGCCACCGCCTCCTGGCGTGTAGAGCGCGCGCCGCCTGCCGCCAGCATCATCTGGCGGAATGTGGGCGGCAGCCGGGCGGCAAGGCGTGTCCGCACGTGGGTGGTGAATGTGGTGGTGGTGGCGGCGCTGTGTGCGTGGTCGTGCCCGCTCGCCCTGCTCTCCGCCGTCTCGTCTGCCGCCCACACTGCCGACACTGCCGCCCTCTCGCACCTCAACGTGTGGCTCTCATGGGCGCGCGTGAGTTGATGTCAAGAGAGGATCGGTGGGGGCGGTGGGGGATGAGCGCAACACAATGCAGTGGAGCGAACACGGGAGGCGGAAAAAGGGGTGAAGCGCATCTAGCAGCACTCCATTCCCTCTTCATCCTACCCCTCCTCTCTCATTCCTCCTCCCTTCCCCACCCTTTCACCCCATCCCCGCCCGGGCCATCAGAGCAACAGCGGCAAGGCAGCGGTGGCGCTGCAGTTCCTGCCCAACGTGCTCTCGTTCACCGCCATGTACGGCGTCATGCCCGCCGCACTGCACCGCCTCGTGGTCTTCGAGGGCCACATCACCACGTCGCGCCAGCAGGCCGCTCTGCTGCTCAAGCTCACCGCACTCTACCTCTTCAATCTATACGTGCTCAAGGTGCCATCCCCATCCCCGCCCTCTCGCTCTGCTGCCCTCTGCTGCCCCCTTGCGGCTGCGCTGGTCGTGTTGTCTGCGTGTGAGCGTGCAGGGGAACCTGCCAACTCATGCCTTGCCTTGCCTGCCGCCGGGCACTGACTTTTTGTCACTGCGTATCCACCCTTCTTTTCCTCCCCCTCGCCCCAACTCTCTCCAACCGCTGCCCGTCCCACGCCAGGCGCTGCTGGAGGCGCTGCTGCAGGCGGCACTGCTGCGCGCGCAGCGCTGCTCGCTGCTGTCGGCGCACTGCCCCACGGTGCTGCACTGGCTCAACGCCTCGCTCATCCCCGCCTCCTCGCTCTCCGCGCTGTGCTTCCTGCTCACCTCCGCGCTGCTCGGTGTCTCCTTTGACCTCCTCGCACCCCTCGCCTGGCTCGCCCCCCGCCTGCGCCGCCTGCGCCTCTCCCTGCGCCGCCTCTGCCTGCATCTTTCACTGCACCGCATGCTTGTCTTTCTTCACAGATTCCACCAGCGCCTCTCACGGCACTGGCGTCGCATCACAAGGGCTGGACATGTAGGGAGAGGGCTGGTAGCAGGCGGAGAGGGCGTGGGGCTGGGGAATGCGGGCAGTGGATACGAGGTGCTGGGAGATTGGGTGGGGGCAGTGGTGGCTGGGAGGGAGCAAGTGGGAGGAGTCGGAGCGGTGCAGAGCGGTGCATATGTGCCCCTCCCCGGGGACGCCGTTGAGGAGCATTGTGGGAATGGCGATGCTGAGACACGTGGCGGACAGCCATTGGATGACATGGCTGAAGGTGGCAACGGGGCGAGTGATGACGAGGAGGGAGGGAGTGAGGGAGAGAGTGTGTGCAGCAGTGAGAGTGACCTCGGGTTGCTGTCGCTGCTGGAAGAGGCAGAATTAGAGACAGCCACCCACTCTCACCTCCTTTCACCTTCCTCTCGCACCTCTGCTCTCCTTTCACCGTCCTCCCCCACCGCAACACACATATCCCTCCCCCCACACTCCACCCACCCACCCCCCGTCATGGCCTGCGACGCCTCCCCTCCGACCCCTGCTGCACGCATACAAGACCCCACATCAGCAGCAACGCATGCAGGTGGCACGGGAGCAGCACAGCAGCCACCAGCATGCGCATCCCCCACACCAGAGGCACCACCATCAGCGGGGGCGGAGGCTCCAGCAGCAGGGATGGAGGCACACGAGCTTTCACGGAAGAGGCGGGGCGAGTTGCAGTTTGACTACGCGCAGTACTACGCATACAACACCACGGCGCTCTGCCTGCTGCTCTTCCACGCGCCCCTGGCCCCCCTGGTGCTGCCCGCCGGGCTGCTCTTCTTCTCCTACCGCCTCATCGTTGACAAATACAACTTCCTCTTCCTCTACCGCACACGACCGCACCACCACTCCCACCACCACCACGCACCACCGCACTCAACCGCATCGCTGTCGTCCCCGGCAGCTTCTCTGCTGCCCCCCACGGGCCCACAACTGGTGTCGGATGGGCGGCTGGTGAGGGCAGCAGTGGGGGTGCTGCGCATGAGCGTGTGCGCCACCCTTGCCGCCCTTGCTGCACTACTTGCCTTCAAAGGTGACCCCGATAAGCTGCAGGCTGTGCTGCTGGGGTCGGTATCGGTTGTCCTTTCTGTGATGTATGGTATAGAGGCTCTAGTGCGAGTGCCAGGGAGGGCACGAGTGGTGGTGGGTGCACATAGGCATGGTGGTAACCACGTGTTGCCAGAGAGACTGGTGAATAGGCCGACTGCTTATGAGGTGTGCTGGCAACAAGTATTGAATGAAGAGCTGTGATCATGCATGGCATGTAAATTCCTAGGGATGTGCCTTGCTTCAATGGCTGAAGGAGCATCTTGCTTCAATGCCTCAAGGCCTTGCGCTCAAGTGAGCAGCGTGGGTGAACAGAGAAATAAATAATGAAACATGAGCACTGCAGGTCTTGCGAGTGGCCATGCAATGCAACAGGCACTGCAGACCTCAGCGCCAGGGGGCGTGCTTCTGTGAAGCGACAACAGCAGGCACCCCGGCAGTATGCACGGTTGCCGTGGTCGCTCTAATGAACACGAGTGGCACAGCAATTTCAGGCAACACATAACTAACAAGGAGGTTCTTTACAAGCCAAAGAAAGAGAAAGAGGCATGGTGGCACGGCCACATGCACCACGGCCATGCCTCACAACAACACAACTGTGGCCCAGAGGCAGCACCAAGTGAGCGGCGGCATGCCGCAGTGATGCCACGCCATGGCGCCATGCTACGGTGGTGGGGGGTGCGGAGGCAGCATGTATGGCAGGAATAGGCCCGGTGGCAGGGGCGTGCTGGCGCTGGTGGGGGGCAGTTGCAGGGAGGCAGTGGCAGCGGTAGCAGCAACAGCAGCAGCGGCATGAGCAGGTGGAGAGGGCAGTGGAATGGAGGAGGAGGGCGCGGAGGAGAGGAGTATGTGCTCGAGACCATTGCAGTCGTCCTGATGGTGTGCAGGGCAGACGGATGGGTGGGGCGGAGGAGGGGGTGGAGAGGTGTGAGCGGACAGGGCAGCAGAACACGGAGGATTATCGCGAGCACATGTCAGCTGTGGTAGCCACACACTCATGTGTGGGAGGAGCAGGTTCATGTGTGGGAGGAGCAGGTTCATGTGTGGGAGGAGCAGGTTCATGTGTGGGAGGAGCAGGTTCATGTGTGGGAGGAGCAGGTTCATGTGTGGGAGGAGCAGGTTCATGTGTGGGAGGAGCAGGTTCATGTGTGGGAGGAGCAACTGAGACCTGATGACTTCCACTCATGCACCTGCCTCACATGCACCTGCCTCACATGCACCTGCCTCACATGCACCTGCCTCACTTGCACCTGCAGGTGTCTCACTCAGGTGCACATGCACATCAAGCTGTATACACCTATCCACCCGACTTCACCAGCGTGCACCTGTCTACACCAGCGTGCACCTGTCTACACCAGCGTGCACCTGTCTACACCAGCGTGCACCTGTCTACACCAGCGTGCACCTGTCTACACCAGCGTGCACCTGTCTACACCAGCGTGCACCTGCAGCTGGCGGATATAAGAGACGACGTTGTCGAGCATGGAGGCGGTCTCCTCGTTGCCCGCCGCGTACGGTATGCTCTGCTGCAGCTGCTGCAACCCCTCCCTGCTCGCACGTGCCATGGGGGGTCGGGGGAATAGGGGCGGATGGAAGGGAATAGGGAGGAATGGGGGGAAACAGGGAGGAGTTAAGATGGGTGGGGAAGTATAGGGGCGAATGCAATGCAACAGGGCGGAGAGGATCGATTGGAAAGGGAGAGGAAGAGGAAATAGAGAGGGAAGGAGGAAAGGTAGGGAGAGGTAAGGGGGGAGAGAGGGATGGAGGGAGAGAGGTAAGGGGTAGAGGGGAGGAGGGAGAGAGGGACGGAGGGGGAGAGGGACGGAGGGAGTGAGGGAAGGAGGAAGAGAGGGAAAGATGGGAAGAGGGAAAGATGGGAAGAGGGAAAGGGGGAGAGATGGAAGGAGGGGGAGAGGCAAGGAGGGAGAGAGGAAAGGAGGGAGAGAGGGGAAGAGCGAGAAGGAGAAGGAACAGTAGAGAAAAGGAGGAGGAGAGGGAAGGGGGGAGAGGGGGAAGTAGGGAGTGATAACGGAGCAAAGGAAGGAGGAAAGGGGGCAGAGAGGGAAGCAGGGAGCGAGGGAAGTAAGGAGAGAGGGAAGAGTGGAAGGAATGAGGTAGGAAAGGGGGGAGTGAAGGAGAGAGCGGGGGGATGGGGAAGAAAATAGGGAGGTTGGGTGGGAAAGATGGGAACGGGAACCAGAGAGAGAAGGAGAAAGATGGGAACGGGAACCAGAGAGAGAAGGAGGAAGTGGGATAAAAAGAGAGGGAAGGGAGAGTCAAGAAGGAAAGGAAGGAGGGAGAAAGCGAAGGAAACAGAGAGGGAAGAAGAGAGGGAACAAGGGAGCAAAGACACCAGGGAAAGAGGGAGAACAAAGAAGGGAGAGGGCGAAGAACTTCTTGAAGGGATAGAAGGATGGAGAAAGGGAAAGAGGGAGAGTAGGATAAAGGGAGGGAAGTCGAGGGGGAAAGGGGGAAGGAAGGAAAGGGGAGGAGGGAGAAAGGGAAGGAAGAAAAGAGGGAAGGAGACAGAAAGCGAAGGAGAGAGAGGAATGGAGGGAGAGAAGGATGGCGAGAGGGACAGAAGGAGAGAGAGGGGAATAAAGAACGGAGAGATGGAGGGAAGACCGAAGGAGAGAGGAAAGGAGTGATGGAGGGTAACGGGAGGAAGGGACGGAAGGAGGGAGTGAGGGAAGGCGGGACAAAGAAGGGTGGGAGAGAGAGGAGGGCAACAGGAGGGAGGAAAGGAGGGACGGAGCGAGAGACTTAGAGGGAGGGTGGGACAAGCGCAGGGAGGGCGGATGTGCGGATGAGAGACAAGAGAGAGACTGCCATGGGTGGTGGCAGAAGAGGCGATGCAGTGGGGCAGAGGTGGGTGGGCGGTAGAGGTACCTGACTCGCTGGCGCCTCACTCGCTCCACCTGCACTCGCCTCCGCATTCTCTGCCGTGAATCCCCGCCCTCGTCCTGCCCCCCTGCTTCACCCTCCCCCCCTTCTTCCTCCCCATGACCCATCCCCTCATCGCCATCCCTCCCCTCGTCATCCATTCCCCCCTCCTCGTCCGCGTCTGTCCCCGCAGCATCATTCCCCCGAGCCTCCGCGGGGTGGGCCTGCAGAGCGGGTAGCTGGGCGCGGGGCTGCTGAGGTGAGAGGGCGGGGTCAGAGCGGGCAAGGGGGCGAGACTGCAGGCCGGACGAGGCCGCATGCGGTGCCACAGTGGGCACCGGCCGTCCTGCTGTTGATTGATGTCCAGATGTCATCTGATGTCCAGCTGTCATCTGATGTCCAGCTGTCATCTGATGTCCAGCTGTCAGTTGGTGGGACATCTGATGTCCAGCTGTCGGATGTACAGCTGGCATTTGATGCCCAACTGTCATCTGGTGTGTCATCTGATGTCCTGATGTCATTTGATATTGGGCTGTCAATTGAAGTCCAGCTGGCATATGAAATCCAGCTGTCATTTGGTGTCCAGGTGTAACGTGAAGTCCAGTTGTCATTTGTCGCAGTATCAGGGCCTGGTCATGTTGAGTTACTGCATTTTGTGAAAGCAAGAGTTGCTGCTGCCATTGTTGTTGCTGCTGCAACAGAAAGAGCTGCTGCTCCATTGTTCTCTCCTGCTGCGCTTGCTCTTGCTGCCACTGCCGCCGCTGCTGCTGCTGCCACACTTGCCGCTGCGCCAGGAGCATTTGGTTGAACAGCTCTTCGCCATTTCCACTCGCCGCGTTGTGCGGCATCAGCCCAGGAGGACTCGCCGCCATTTCACTTTGGCCCATCACGCCTATTTCCACGCCTTCTCCTACACGACGGTCAGTAGCACCGCTCCTGCCAATCACACCCGTCGCTCGCGCGGCGGAGTGCGGTGCAGCACGCAAGGGGTCGTGGCCAGGGCGTTGAGGCTGGGAATGCTGCGGATCTACCACAATTGACGGTGGCCCTTGCGAATCAACTTCTATCGCTGCATCACGCGCACCCATCGAAGCAGCGGCCATTATTTCCGTGAAGCGCGCGGCGGCGACGGACTGTTGGAGCAGGGCGGCGTCGGGGAGGCGCGAGAGGGCGTCCTCGGACGAGTCGTGGCGCAGCTGCGAAACCATGGCGTCCATGTTCATCGCTATCTGCACCCGCAGCGGCGGTGCACTCTCCTCGTCCTCCAATGACGGCGGACGGGTCGTCATTTATTGTGCCAAGTAATTTTTTTTTTTTTTTTTTCCAATGGGTCTTACGTTTGTGCTGGGGTTCATTCAAGCGGTTCGGAAAATGCTATGGCGGCAGCGAAGGTTTTGAACTTTTAGTTAGTGAGCAATCGTTAGCATCCCTTTCAGTTGAAACGTTACCACCAACCCTTGCAGCAAGATAGCTCTGTTCAGAGTCTACTGTTAAAGATGTCCCAGACACTAGCTCTGTTCGAAGTCCACCGAGGAACCCAGGAACCCTCGTTCATACGTACACCTGTGGCACAGCTCTACCACCGCCATATCTGGTGCTGGGAAGAACCGATGACTCTGTAGCTTCTCCTGAGTTGAGATGGACACACCCCCACCAAAATCGACGTAACTGGACGTTAAGATTGCACTTGGTCCGGGACATCTTCACCACCCTGACCATTTCTGTCCACGGGCATCGCCCCCCTTGATTCTACAAACTTAACCGAGATGCCTCGATGGAATTGCGTGTGTACTTGGACTCGAGACCCGACAAAAACCGAGTCTAAAATATCACACACACAACCTCAGTGAGGCTATCTTCTGTAAGACCCGAACTCCTTAGTCATGAAGCCTACCACGAATATCACGGACTGAGAGAGCAATATTTCCCAAAATTCCCATCTGCCGAGCAAAAGTCCGGCGTAATCAGATCAAATCAGGCGCATTTCACTGTATGAAAATGGTTTCACGCTCGCTTCAAGTGCATCTGCTCTGCTCACACTGAAGTTGTGCTGTGATCTCCAGCACATGTTACTGACTACAGTTGCTGTTGAGCCAGCAAACCAAAACACCCCTCCGTTGTTCCTCCGGACCCGAGCAACTAAGTGAAGTGGTGAACTGAACAACATGACCATCCCCACCCTGGCCACCTCGTCACGAGAACATCTGTCGAAGCCTCGTTTCTCGCCCGAAACGTCACACCAGTCGGGGTGTCTCTGAATTTGAAAACACTATTGCTGCTCCGTCCCCCCACTTCTGTACTGTAATTCGATTTGCGGAGGGTCGGTCGGCCGAACCCCACCTGATCTGACCGAGCCTTGCCGATTGCAGGGGATTGCAGCGGAGGGCTGCGGGCACCATCATCCACCGCAGGGGGATTGCAGCGAAGGACCAAGATCATCCGCGCATCCACATCCGCATCACATCGTCAGGTCGAATCGCAACACAACGCAACCCCATCGCGCGCCCATCCATCCACCCAATCCCTTTGTCCCGCTCCCCCCCAAGAGCACAGAACAAACAAGCCCACCCAAACCAGACCAGCCCGCTTGTTGTAGGCAATTTTGGCCCTAGCTCCGACCAATCAACACGTCGTTCGTTCAAGAAAGCTTCAGCCATGCACTGTTTTAATTTGCCAAGCAGCCAACCAACGGAGACCTCACTCTCTTGAATAACTTGAGTCCAATCACATACACTTTCGTGGATGGCAGAACAGCAAGCACTCATCACAATCCTTGTTCTGTGGCCTGCCAGTTGCACACTACAAGACAGTTTAGGGAAAAACCGTTTTTGTAACACCAAAAAGCAGTTGGCATGGTAAATCTTACTTCAATTCCAGTACATGAGAATCTTACTTCACTAATTTTGAGTTCAATCGGCAGAAGGTTCATTTGCAAGCAAAAACACTCTTAATCTATCTAAGGCGCCCACACACCAGTGAGAACCCAAGGGTATGGGACAGGATGAGGCAAATGCGGTGGCGGTTGCGACGACGGTGGTGGCTGACGTTACACTAGGTGCAACCATTACAGGAGAGCATTTCCCCAAGCGGCCCCTTGGTGCCATGGCTGGGCTGGGGGTGAGAGCACAGCGAGACTCGAGCTGCCTGACAGCAGCAGCATGTGACCCTGACAGACACAGACAGACGGAAAGACAGACACAGACAGACAGACAGACAAGACGACAGACAGACAGGCGGACAGGCGGCACACAGAAAGTAGACAAGACAGACAGACGACAGGACCAAGGAGGACACGGCCGTCAGGGTGGGGAGAAGTGGCGAAGCACAGCAGCAATGCAGGGCATGGCGTGGCAAAACAACTACACTTACCTGCAGGCATGAAAACGAGGCCCAGGCAATACGGCCGTTCAAAGTGGTGGTTGAATGATAAACAAGGGTTGTCATGTGAAGTCACATACTCACATCGTCTGCTCATCTTGACCTCCTGATGCTGCCGGCGTTACTGCAAGAATAGATGGAAGTTGAAAGTCCAGTGGCAGCAAAGGAAGAACTTAGTCTTCCTGCTTCAATAGAGAAAATGCCTCCATGGCATCCCCAAGGAGCGTAAACGAGGCCCCGAAGGCAAAAAACCAGCAGACATTACAACGAGAGGGATCAAAACTGGAAACACAAGAGGCAGTTGAGTTGGGAGATGGCAGGAGGGGGTTTCTGTTGGCGGCAGCGATCACGAGTGGAGAGACGGCAGGTGCCGTCACATCACCTCGTGAATGGCTCTGGATCGTAACCCCGGGGGGCATACCTCCTGTTTCACAGCGCCAGCGGCATCTCCCCCTCCGCTGCCGGCAGCAGCAGCGGTGTCATGGGTGGGCCGCGGGCGGCCGCAGTGGCGGCGGTTGCAGTGCGAGCGGAAGGGGTAGTTCACGTTGCCGCACTCACTGCACGCCCAACTGCCGTCCGGTGCTGCTGCCTGCACGCCTGCCCTCCCCCAAGCCGGGCAGATGGGCCAGGGGGTGGGGGGGGAGGGGTTGGAAGGGCAGATACAGGAGGTGAGGAGAATGGGTATGAATAAATGGAGAGAGTGAGGGGAGGGGAGGTGAGTGATATGGCGGCGAGTGGGATGGGGCGAGAGGGAGAGAGAGGTGCATGGTGGTGGAGGTGGTGAGAGGAAGCCGTGGTGGCTGCACGGTGAGAGGGGGGGGGATGGGGGACATGGGGAGAGGCGCAGCGCAGCAGGGGACTCACGTGGTGGGTGAGAAGGCAGGGGCGCGGGAGCAGCGGGGTGCACCTGTGGCATAGCCAAGGCAGACGCAGGGCGCCCGCAGGTTGCAGGCGGGCGACGAGGGGTTGATGGGCAGGGACGGGACGGGGAGGGGAGGGGAGGGGAGGGGAGGGGAGGGGAGGGGAGAGGAGGGAGTGCATGAAGCAAAAATTAGACAGGGCAATGGCAAAGGGGGTTGAAAGCCATGTAAGCATGACAATGAGCATCCCAGCACAGGTGCGCTTGGTTGCTGCGAGGCACGGACGAGATGAGGGGCACAGCAGGGTGTGCGGGAGGTGATGAGAGAAGGAGAGTAGAGGAGAGGAGGAGAGAAGTTGAGGAGACGTAAAGAGGGAGGAGTGGAAGAGAGCAGAAGGAGGGCAGGGAGAGGAGAGGGAGGGGGAGGGGAGGCGGCGAGCGCACATAGAGAGTAGGAGGCAGGGGCATGGCAGGGGGCCTGGGCTCGTTGCATTTGCGCATGTTGCAGTGCGTGCGGAAGGAGAAGTTGGTGTTGCCGCACTTGAAGCACACCCAGTCCCCCTCCCCACTCCCCTCCGGTCCCCCCCTCCGCTTCCGCCCGTCCGCCCCCTCCCCTTGCCGCTGCTGCATGCCCGGCTGCCAGAGGGGGAGGGAGGGGGAGGGGGAGGGGGAGGGGGAGGGAGAGGGGGAGGGGGAGGGGAGGGGGAGTGGGAGGGGGAAGAACGCAAGTGCGCTTGGCTGAAAAAGGGACGAATGGGCGAGAGGCCAAGGATAGGGACTGGGCGGCATAGAGGACAGCAAGGGTGGCGAGGGCGGGCGCGGGGGGGCGAGGGCAGGGAGTGGCAAGGGGAGGCGAGAGCGGGGCGGGGGAAGCAGCGAGGGCGGCTCACAGGCGGCATTGGATGGCTCACAGGCGGCATGGGGCGGTAGGCGTCCATGGGGTAGGGTGCGAACGCGTGCGCTGCGGGCCCCGCGGCCAGGGGGAGGGGGGAGGGAGGGGGCGGGGAGGGGCAGGGGGAGGGGAGAGGGTGTCAGATAAGGGAGACGAGACGGTACAGAGGCGCGGGGGGAAAGCACTAGGCGCAGCGAGGATAACGAGAGAGGGCAGGGCAGGGCAGGGCAGGGCGGAGGGGGAGACTCACCTGGCGGCATGGGCATGTGGGGCATGGCCTGCGGCATGTAGGGCGGCGCGAGGTGCGCGGAGGGGTCATAGGGCGGAGGCATGGCGGGTGCCCCATACATGGGCGCGGGGGAGGGCATGGGGGGGTACGGGGCGTAGTGCGCGGGGGGCATGGCGGGCATGTAGGGTGCGCCGAGCGGCTGCATGGGCGGCATCGCGTGCATGGCGTGCATGGGCGCGCCCGGATCCCCCGGCATGGGGGCTGCCGCCTGCGACGGCGCATGCTGTCGGGGGAGGGAGGGGAGGGGGAAGAGAAGAGCGGCGACACAGAGAGGGATGGAAGGGGTTGATAGGACGATGGGGCGGGGGAGGGCGGGGGGAGATCTCGAAGGGGAGCAGGCAGTGGAGGGACGGCGCACGGCGAGGGGACTTGGGGCACGCAAAGACAGAGCGGCGTGGGTGCAGTGCAGCGGGGCACGCGCTCGGGAACGACACGAGCGGGAGGACGGCGGGATCACGCGGGGGGCTCACCGAGTATTGCGGTGGCGGGTGCATCAGCGAGGGGCCGGGCGCGGGTTTGGGCGCGCCGCACTTGCGCATGTTGCAGGACGTGCGGAAGGAGAAGTTGACGTTGCCGCACGCCGGGCACGTCCAGTCGCCGTCGCCGCTCGCGTCTGCGCAGCCACGCGCGCGGGACACTCCGCAAGCGGAAGCGGGTGAGCGGGGAAAAGCACGCGAGGGGATTGGACCTGCGCAGAGCGCGCGGAGGCGGAGCGGCGAGGAAAAGCAGCGCCGCAGCGCACCGACCTGTGCGGGGACGCTTGGTGCTCATGCTGCCGCCGAGGGTTGCGCGAAGGGAGGCGGTAATCCGCGTTGGAGGGATGCGCGGAGGCCCGCCGAGACGCGCAGTCGAGGCAGGAGGCCGCGGGGCGGATGGATGCGGGCGAGCAGGTGAAGAGCAGAAGGTGACGCTCGCAGCACACACAGGGGCGGTAATAAGGCCACTTGCGAATACTAGCACGCACGGGCAGGGCGCGGGAGGGAGAGAGAGAAGAACAAGAGTGACGGTACAAGTAGACTTGGGAGAGTGGTGGTGGGTGTTGTTGAAATGAGTGTGTGTGCCGTGTGACCTGCTCACATTTGTGCACAGCACAACCCTCAACCCCCCCCATCCATTCCAGTTCCTTCCAAACGCACGTCAAGTGTCCACACGCACAGCGATTCCTGCTACCATCCATCCACCCTCGCTCATCGCTCTTCTCGTATTCGTTCTCTCTCTCTCACTCACTCTCGCCTCCCATCCCATCCTCACGGCCGCATTTCCCGCGCCTCGCCTGTCGCCGACCGCAATGGACGCCGCAGCGCTCAGGCCGCACTTAGTGCGCCACTCCCTCAGCCCCGCGCACCTCTCGCGCGCGCCTCTCGGACGTGCCAACACCGCCTCCCGCCGCGCGCATCGTCTTCCGCCCCTCCGCGCGCGCGCATCGGGCGGCGGCGGCGGCTTCCCCAAGGGGCAGGGCCTCATCGGCCTCAACGGCCAGCCGCTCTCGTCCAGCCCCGGCGGTACCGGCGGCGGTTCCGGCAGCGGGGGGATGTACCTGCCGTTTCTAAAGCCGGCGGAGCGCGCGGTGGAGGAGGGGCTGGGGTCGGTAGAGGAACTGCTAGAGGTCGTGCGCGAGCGGCGCGGGCTGTGGTACGAGTACGCGCCCGCCATCGGCGCGCTGGGACGGCAGGGGCTGTCGCCGGCGGCGATCGCGGAGGCGACGGGCATGACGGGCGTGGAGCAGAGCGCCGTTACGACGGCGGCGCAGGTGCGCGCGACGCTGAGCGCCGCGCAGATGGACCCCGCGCTGCTGGCGTTCTTCGACGTGGGCGGCGCGGAGGCGCTGTACGAGCTGCGCGTGCTGGCGGGCGCGCAGCGGAAGGAGGCGGCGGAGTACGTTGCGCGCGAGGGGCTGGACGGGAAGGGCGCGCGGGACGTGGCGCGCGCCATCAAGGAGTACGAGCGGCGCAAGCGAGAGGCGGACCGCAGCCACTTCAGGTAGGCAGGCCGTGCTGGCGCCGCGCACGGTCGATTCTGGCGCAAAACCCAAGCCATGCGATATCCGCCCTTGTTCCGCGCACCTGCCTTGACCTCGTCCTCTCTCACTCCCCCTTTTCACCTACCCCTCACAGTCTCCTCACCCAACCCTCTGGCCCAGTCCCCTACTCACCTCGCCTTGCCCTTCCCATCACATTCCCCTTTGCCCATCCCCCTTCCCCAACCACCCCTTCCCCACTCTCTCCCTCCCCCCTTCCCCCTTCCATATCGCGCGCCACAGTGCGGAGCCGGGAGACTGTCTGGCGTTCGCCTCGTACCGCCAGAGCGGGGAGGCGAGGAGCCGCGCCGAGCGCGAAGCGGCGCTGGTGAGGGCGGAGCAGGTGGCTACGACCGACGCCGCCCGGGCCTTCATCTCCACCGCTCTGCACCGCTGCCGCAACCCCGACGCCGCACCGCCCGCCCACGCCGCCGCCCACGCCACTGGCCCCGGTGCCGCCGCCACTACCACTCCCCCCTCTCTGCCAGTGGCGCGGCTGCGCAGCGCTGAGACCCAGGCGACGCCCATGCCCGTGGTGACCTGCGCCGCGGACCTGCAGCACCTGCCCGCGCTGCCCCCCCCGCAGGGCCCCTTCCGCCTCTTCTCCCCCGCGCCCGGGCTGCCGTGGGTGGCGCTGCCCTCGTGGCCCGCCCTGCGGGGCGTGCCCGCGCTGCTGGCGCTGCTGCTGCCCTCGCCCTCCCTGCTGCCGCCCCTGCAGGCGCGGCAGGGGGATGGCGCGGTGCTGGTGGTGGTGCAGGGCGCATGGGGCGAGGGCAGTGCGGTGGAGGGCAGTGCGGTGGAGGGCAGTGCGGTGGAGGGCGGGCACTACTACGTGGTGAGGGATGCGGAGAGGGGCGGGGAGAGGGGGCTGGTGGTGGTGGCGGGGGGGGAGGTGGCGGAGCGGTATGGGTCGGGGGCAGGGGAGGCTGTGGTGGGGCGAGTGGTGCTGGCGCTGCTGCCACCTGACAGCGAGGAGGAGGAAGAGGAGATCGATGTGGACGACTGGGAGTGAGGGCACGCACGGTGACGTGTTGCAGGTGGAGGGAGGGCAGTGCGGTGGGTCAGGACACTGGAGGGGCAGCAGGACACAGCGGCTGCTGTGGCAGCAAGAGGCAGAGTGCGGCTGTGCAATAGCGGACAGACAAGCTTTCATTGACACTAGTCTGGAGGAGTGCTGCTGTTCTGTATGAGTATTGCTGAGCTCTGTTAGGCCACTACACTTGCTAGAACAACATGAGTTGAAACCGTGAAAGTCTGGCTCTATACTTGCACATGAGGGTTCACTTTGTTGGGCTGAAAAGCCCTAGGATCTTTGTAGAGTTAAAGTCTGAGTAAGTGATGTAATAGCGGAAGCGTTGAATAAAGTCCTTGAACCACCTTGCGCTATGTTGGGAATATAAACGCATGACTTCGTGCGTTTCTGTAGTATCGAACCTCACCCGATACTGAAGCACAACAAAAAGGGTATGAAGTCGAAAAGGCGCGTACGTACCACATCAAACCGCAACTGGAGGTTGCGAGCTGTAACCGCCTGGAGGTTACGTAACAGCAAGCGACGCTTCAGTGAACAGTAACCGCCTCGATAGTCGAAGCGTTACGCGTCTCGATAAACATAATCGCTTCCTGTAATCTACCTTTCCTATATATTCCTGTATGCTCTTTGCTTTAATCAATTACTTGTTCTCACATACCAGCACAAGTACATTCACTCAAAAGACTTCCGCTGTGCTACTCTAGCACCTACTAGCTTATTCTCTGCAAAGATCCTAAGGCTGAAATCCTCAGCCCAACATGGTATGAGAGCAGTCAGAGAACAAAGGCTCTCGTCACTAAGCCTCTTCCAGGCTACCGACCTGCAAGCAACCAAGAAGTTCAATCTTCATTCAAGAAAGGCAAGACATGGCAAGTGGCAAAGAAAGAAGATCATCTACGGGATCTACTCTACCCCCGGTCTCCGAGTTGCAGACCGAAGGATGAACAACGCCCGATTAACGCCGGAAGCGACGGAACGTTCTACTCAAGCGCCAGTAGCGCCACCAACAATCTTCAACCCAAGCTTAATGGAGGAGTTCTTCAACTTCATGTCGCAGCAGCAGTCCTCACAACCTGCAAACAGCAACAGCGTAAACAACGGAGCGGCACCAATGAGTATTGACAACTCATCGTTCGGACGACATAATCAACAAACACCAAATTCGGTCTCACCTGGTTCCTTCACGTTCATGCCGCCTCGCCATCCAGCGACCCCTCTTCCCGCCATCAAACGAGACACCGAAGAAGTCCTGCAAGTACAAGCACAGTTCAACAACATCCTGCGAGTGCACACATCCACACCATTCAACGGGAAGGACTTCTACTCTTGGAGCTTCGAGTTTGAACTCCTGATGGAAGGCGCGAATCTTCTTGGATTCTTCAACGGTACCTGGCCATATCCACACAACGGCGAAGACAAAGACAAAGAAAATTATACGTATCACTCCCTGATGGCTTACACCGTTCTTCTCCGAAACCTGTCACCGAACGAACAACAAAGCATCCGCGCCTACTGGAACTACGCAAACTCCGCGGAACTCGCCTATCAACATCTGCGAAGCATTCATCAAGCATCCGACAGCGTTACACAAAGCTGACTCATGGCACAACTGACAACAGTTCAAATGCAACCTGGAGAAAAGGCCATGCCTTACATCAGTCGCTGTCAAGGACTACGCGACAGACTTATTCGCTGCGGAGGAAACTTATCTGAAGAAGCTTTCGTAACCGTCGTTCTTGCCGGCCTTGGACCTCAATGGCGCACCACCCGTTCACTTCTTCGCGCTCACGGTCGACTCTCCGGAATGCATCTCTGCGCCGAACTTCACGCCGAGCAGCAGGAAATGGACCTGTTCGAAGAACGCAACAACAAAAGGCATCATCAACCAGTCGTTCTTTACACCAATCGACGACAGCCACGTTACCAAAATCGAGGACACGTACCTCCTTATTGTCATCTGTGTCGGACTTCAGGACACACACGCTTCAACTGCCCTCAGCAACAACGACAACCAGCACCATTCTCTTGTCCTCTGCGACCCGCGCCTCCCCACATCGCGTCAACTCAACAACGACCCGCTACCGCCTCAACGACTACTTCAACGCGACCGTCAACTTCCACTTCGGGACCTGCACAGACATCAAGAATCGTCGCCATGGCACGAACAACAGAGTCAAACATCGACTCGTGTATTACCGGCTCACCACCGACTTACAGTCCTGATGAGCAACCGTCACCACCACCGTCGTCCCTTAACGTCAATCCAACGTACGCCGCCATCACGAACAGTGCACCCACCGGACCAGACACATGGTTCCTCGACAGCTGTTGCGGTCATCACATGTGCTCTTCATCACGATTTCTTCAGCGCGAACGACGTCTTCCGCGAGACGTCATCATCACCGTCGCCAACAACGAAAACCTGGGCACCAACAAACAAGGAGTCGTGGAGCTTCAGTCAAACGAAACAAACGTTATCCTTCAACTAAACAAAGTACTCGTCGTCGACAACCTCGGCTTCAACTTACTGAGCGTCAGCCAACTCATGTCGAAAGGCATTCACTTGGAGTGTGACTCCGACGCCCGGGAAATCCGTCTTTACCACGGAAAAGGGGGGGTCTTCATCGGCCGCGCAATCCAACAAGATGACGTGTTCGTCCTCGATTTCGTCCCCGACAAAGGCACCGCAGACAGCGACGGCATAGTCGCTCTCGCACCTTGGACGCATCCGCCAGACCTCGACCCGAACTTCAGTCCTGAAGGCTTCTGGTACTTTCGTACCATTCCCGAAGCTGAACGCACCAACGCGCTTGCCGTCCTGCAAACACAAGCAACAAGACCTGAGTCAGCACTCGTCATCGAAACAACAACTGTCAGAATATATTTGCTGTCTAGCCTGCAGTGGGGTACTCTGTAATGAGTACAACCCAATTTAGGGCAATGTACTTGTATCCCAACTCTTGCTAGTCACTTCACTTCCCTTCCAATTTCTCGACTCTCACCTAACCCACTCGAACTTACCTATCTCCTAGTGTGGGCCTAGGCTACTAAGCCTAGGCCCCACACCTAATATTTTCACATGTTATCAGAGCCCGTTCTACCTTGGCCTGTGGGCCCCTATGCTTCCGCTGCAGTCCTTCTTCCTGCCGCGCGCGCTCCGCGCGGCGAATTTTTTTTTAGGATTTCGGACTTTTTCATCCCGCCGTGCGCTCGGGGCGCGCGGCGGTTTTCCCGTCCTTCGAAGCGCCCTCGGGGGGCCTGCGCGCTGCCCTCCCCGCTGCTCGTCGCGACGCCCGTGCGGGACCCGCGCGGCGTCACCCTGCTCGTCGCGACGTCCGTGCGGGACCCGCGGGGCGTCGCCCCTGCTCGTCGCGACGTCCGTGCGGGACCCGCGCGGCGCCGTCCTACTTGTCGCGACGTCCGTGCGGGACCCGCGGGGCGTCGCCCCTGCTCGTCGCGACGTCCGTGCGGGACCCGCGGGGCGTCGCCCCTGCTCGTCGCGACGCCCCATGCGGGACCCGCGGGGCGCTGTCAGTTCCTGCAGCAGCAGCCGCCGCCGCCCTGCAGCAGCAGCCGCCGCCAGGCCTACAGCAGCAGCCGCCGCCAGGGTCTGCAGCAGCAGCCGCCGCCAGAGCCTGCTGCAGCAGCCGCCGCCAGGGTCTTCAGCAGCAGCCGCCGCCAGGGTCTGCAGCAGCAGCCGCCGCCAGAGCCTGCAGCAGCAGCCGCCGCCAGAGCCTGCAGCAGCAGCCGCCGCCAGAGTCTACAGCAGCAGCCGCCGCCAGAGTCTGCAGCAGCAGCCGCCGCCAGACCTGCAACAGCTGCCGCCACCGACCCAGCAGCAGCAGCCGCCGCTCTATCAGCAGCAGCAGCCGCCGCCGCTCTGCCGCAGCAGCTACCGCCGCCCAGCTGCAGGTGCCGCCCCTGGACCCCAGAAGCCGCCCCTGGACCCGGTACGCATTGTGCTGCCCATGCCTGTGCTGCCTGTGCCTGTTGCTGCCCGTGCCTGTTGCTGCCCGTGCCTGTGCTGCCCGTGCCTGTGCTGCCCGTGCCTGTGCTGCCCGTGCCTGTGCTGCCCGTGCCTGTGCTGCCCGTGCCTGTTGCTGCCCGTGCCTGTGCTGCCCGTGCCTGTGCTGCCCGTGCCTGTGCTGCCCGTGCCTGTGCTGCCCGTGCCTGTTGCTGCCCGTGCCTGTGCTGCCCGTGCCTGTGCTGCCCGTGCCTGTGCTGCCCGTGCCTGTTGCTGCCCGTGCCTGTGCTGCCCGTGCCTGTGCTGCCCGTGCCTGTGCTGCCCGTGCCTGTGCTGCCCGTGCCTGTGCTGCCCGTGCCTGTGCTGCCCGTGCCTGTGCTGCCCGTGCCTGTGCTGCCCGTGCCTGTGCTGCCCGTGCCTGTTGCTGCCCGTGCCTGTGCTGCCCGTGCCTGTGCTGCCCGTGCCTGTGCTGCCCGTGCCTGTGCTGCCCGTGCCTGTTGCTGCCCGTGCCTGTGCTGCCCGTGCCTGTGCTGCCCGTGCCTGTGCTGCCCGTGCCTGTGCTGCCCGTGCCTGTTGCTGCCCGTGCCTGTGCTGCCCGTGCCTGTGCTGCCCGTGCCTGTGCTGCCCGTGCCTGTGCTGCCCGTGCCTGTTGCTGCCCGTGCCTGTGCTGCCCGTGCCTGTGCTGCCCGTGCCTGTGCTGCCCGTGCCTGTTGCTGCCCGTGCCTGTGCTGCCCGTGCCTGTGCTGCCCGTGCCTGTGCTGCCCGTGCCTGTTGCTGCCCGTGCCTGTGCTGCCCGTGCCTGTGCTGCCCGTGCCTGTGCTGCCCGTGCCTGTGCTGTCTGTGCCTGTTGCTGCCCGTGCCTGTGCTGCCCGTGCCTGTGCTGCCCGTGCCTGTTGCTGCCCGTGCCTGTGCTGCCCGTGCCTGTTGCTGCCCGTGCCTGTGCTGCCCGTGCCTGTGCTGCCCGTGCCTGTGCTGCCCGTGCCCGTGCTGCCCGTGTCTGTTGCTGCCCGTGCCTGTGCTGCCCGTGCCTGTGCTTCCCGTGCCTGTGCTGCCCGTGCCTGTGCTGCCTGTGCCTGTTGCTGCCCGTGCCTGTGCTGCCCGTGCCTGTGCTGCCCGTGCCTGTGCTGCCCGTGCCTGTTGCTGCCCGTGTCTCGTGCTCGCGCCCCCGTGCGCTCTGCTACTGTCTGCGCCCTCGTGCGCACTGTCCCCCCCCCCGTTTGCGGGTGTGGGGGTGCTCCGTTTGTGTCGCCCCTTCCTTCTCCTCCTCCGTCGTCTCCCACTGCTGCAGCTGTCGCCGAGGGGGGTGGTTGTGTGGGAGACTGGGGTTTAGGGTTTAAGGGGGGTGCGTGGGAGTGGAGCTAGGGGTGTAGCAGCGGGTGTGTGTCAGGGGGGTGGGACTGTTTGTGGGAGGTTGAGCGGAGGCTGCCGTCTTGTAGTCCGCAGCACCTGTAGTCCGGGGCACTGTCCTGGTAGCCCAGTGAGCCTGCTGCGCCTGTCGCCCGTGGGTCCGTTGCTCCTGCCGCTCTTCGTAGCCGCCGAGCCAGTTACTCCAGTAGTCCGGGGCGCTGTCCCGGTAGCCACTGTGCCAGCCGCTCCTGTTGCCCGTGTGTCTGCAGCTTCAGCAGTCGCCTCCCATCTCCTCTCCTCTCACTCTCCCTCCTCCTCCTCACCTGCCCGTTGTGACCACCACTAGCTTTGCTGATAATTGTGCACTTTAACTATTGCTTCTTGAACTTGTGCTCAGAATGTGTGGTGACATTGTGATCCACCCTGAGCTTGTACTGCTTTGCCTGCTCTGCTGATTTCACCCCACTTTGGCTATGGGGGTGTGTCAGAATATATTTGCTGTCTAGCCTGCAGTGGGGTACTCTGTAATGAGTACAACCCAATTTAGGGCAATGTACTTGTATCCCAACTCTTGCTAGTCACTTCACTTCCCTTCCAATTTCTCGACTCTCACCTAACCCACTCGAACTTACCTATCTCCTAGTGTGGGCCTAGGCTACTAAGCCTAGGCCCCACACCTAATATTTTCACAACAACTGCACCCGTCATAGCACCAACAACCACCGAACTTGCAGTTGAAGAACCAACCGTCGTCGCGGAACAACCTTCTGAAACTCCACAGCCTGGCCCCTCCGTCACGCCACCACCTCTCATCATCGACACGCCACCGACAGCCGCCCAACAGTTAACACCAGTACCACGCGCCGTTCATCGAAGTGCAGCAACACACGCCGCCTTCTTCGCCAACGCAGACTTCTATCAACGCTCCGTCGGTCACAGCGCCTCCGAAGACATCTGGCATCAACGTCTTGGACATCCTGGAAACAAAACACTTTACAACACAATACGAGCCGGAGTATTAGACAAGAACGCCCTACTTCTTCCCAACGGACGTGAACTCGAACGACCACGCGGCACCTACTTCATCTGCCCGGAAGCAGATTTGCCTCACCAACCGTTCCCGTCACACCACAATCCGAGCGCCCCCGTTTATCAACCACTCGAGAAAGTCTACAGCGACATACTATACATACCTCGAACTGAAGGACGTGAAGATCTGAACTACGTCATCACCTTCATCGACGCCGCAACGCGATATGTCTGGCACGTCAACTTACCGTCACGAGACATGACTCTAGAAGCCTTCATAGCCTGGCTACCTGTCGCTGAAAGAGAATCGGGAGTAAAACTGAAGAGTTTTCAGTCAGATGGCGCGATGGAATACCAGTCACATCGCTTCAAACAGTTCTTGGCAGAAAGAGGCATCAAACGCCTCATCTCTCTTCCTTACGCTCACCAACAGTAGGGTGTGGCAGAAAGGATGAACAGGACCCTGCAGACAACCATGCGAAAGCTGCTACGTGGAACTCGACTGCCCAACTCAGAATGGCCAGCAGCGATGGACCACGCTGTCCTCCTGCACAACTTGCTGTCCTCGTCTTCACTGCCCAACAACGCATCTCCGCACCTGTTGTGGACTGGGAAGCTGGGCAACACAAAAATGTTACGAGTTTTTGGGTGTATGGTACAGTACCGCCCACACACTGCACGCGCAGGGAGATTTTCGCAACGTGCAGAGTGGGGTCTACACCTCGGGCTGGCAAAACATTACGAAGCCTGGCGAATCTTCGACGTCCACACAAAGGAAACAGTAGCAGCACGTGACGTTATCTTCTACGAGCGACTCACCCTCAACCATTACCTGGACAACATCGCACGCCACGTCGACCCCACCGGCGGATTTTCTGGTTCCCGAGCCTTCGCTTCACCTTCCGACGCTGCTGACTGGGAAGAAGAAAACGTCGACGGCGCCTCCGAAGCTGCTGGACCCCTTCCCTACTGCTCCGTCCCAATCCCCATGGACGAGGAAAATCCTCGCGACAGCAACAATGCCGACGTCTACTACCATTTCGCCGACACTGGTTACGTAACACCCCAACCCGTCAACACCGACATCTCTTAACGATACGGCCCCGGATTCGCACCTGATCCTGAAGCGGGAGACGAAGCAGTCTATCCCGAGGATCCCTTGCTGAACCGTCACACCCCCAGCGGACTCCAAGTCCTGGGACTCGTCGCTGCAGTGTACTGGCCTTCGTCGCCACCTGAAGAGCCTCGCTCTGTCAAGTAGGCTCTGGGGGGGGGAACACAAAGAAAAATGGCGCGAAGCCATGGAAAAGGAGTTAAAAGCGCTTTCAGACCGCAACACCTGGAAGATCCTCCCTGCATCACTCGCACAAGACAGACCCATTCTCTCCGGAAAATGGGTATTCCGGATCAAAACCAACTCCGATGGAACCATCGAACGATTTAAAGCTCGATGGGTCGTCCGCGGATTCGACCAAGAGTATGGTCGCGACTTCACCAAAACTTTTGCACCAGTCAGTCGACATACTTCCCTGCGTATACTCCTCGCCATCGCCGCCTCACGTCGCCGCCCACTCCGACAAATCGACGTCGCCAACGCTTTTTTGTACGCCCCAGTCGACGCTGAAATCTTCGTCGAACAGCCCCACGGGTTCGTCGACGACCCTTCCCTCGTCTGCCAACTACTTCAATCACTATACGGAATTAAGCAGGCACCGCGACTCTGGCAGCAGTACCTGCACGCACGACTTAAACGCATCGGATTCAACCAACTGCCCCATGACCAGGGCATGTATCGCCTCACTCACGACAACGACTACGTCTTGCTAATCGTCTACGTCGACGACTAACTTTACATCGGATCAACTACCACTATCGTCACTTGGTTCGAAAGGGAGCTTCAGACAGATCTCTCCCTCACAGTCTCACCCAACGTCACGCAGTACCTAGGGCTCAACATCCTTGACAAAGACAACGCCATTCGTCTCAGCGCCTCAAAATACGCAAGCACTATCGCCGAACGCTTCTGTTTCACACCGCACACGTCGCAACACCCTACAGTCACCTATCGCCCGACCCAACTGAAGAAACCAACCTACTGCCGTCTCCCGAAATCCAGGAATATCAACAGAAACTAGGCTACCTACTCTTTGCCGCCGTTACGTGCCGGCCGGACTTATCCTACAGCGCCAGCCAGCTAGCGACCTACCTCAAGCGCCCAGAACAACGTCACCTCAAGGAACTCAACCGTGCCCTTCTCTACTTCATCTCGACGCCAACAGCTGGCTTAACGTATCACGAGCACGACGACCAACCTAAAACTACTCGGCTACGTCGACGCTGATCACGCTGCTGATCGTGTCGATCGTCGCTCTCGCACCGGCTACATCTACCGTCTCGAGCCCGTCGGAACTATCTCCTGGCAATCAAGTAAGCAGGAACTCGTCGCACTATCATCTGCTGAAACAGAGTATATTGCTCTCTGCACCGCTACCAAGGAAGGTCTGTACCTACGCGAACTGCTGGAAGAAGCAAAAATTGCGAAAGTACCCAGCTTCTCGCTTTTCTGCGACAACCAGTCCGCGATACGGATCACGAACAAGAATGGCTTCGCCAACAGAACCAAGCATATCGCACTGCGATACTTCTTCGTGAAAGACGAAATTGAGAAGGGAAAACTCCAGCTGGACTACTGCCCGACCACCGAGATGGCAGCAGATTATCTCACCAAGAAGCTACCAAAGGGGAAATTCGAGTACTGCATACTGCTCACCGGATTGGGCCACGTCACCGAAGCTAACCACGTCGACACTCCAGAAACGAAGGGGAGTGTTGGGAATATAAACGCATAACTTAGTGCGTTTCTGTAGTATCGAACCTCACCCGATACTGAAGCACAACAAAAGGGGTATGAAGTCGAAAAGGCGCGTACCACATCAAACCGCAACTGGAGGTTGCGAGCTGTAACCGCCTGGAGGTTACGTAACAGCAAGCGACGCTTCAGTGAATAGTAACCGCCTCGATAGTCGAAGCGTTACGCGTCTCCATAAACATAACCGCTTCCTGTAATCTATCTTTCCTATATATTCCTGTATGCTCTTTGCTTTAATCAATTACTTGTTCTCACATACCAGCACAAGTACATTCACTCAAAAGACTTCCGCTGTGCTACTCTAGCACCTACTAGCCTATTCTCTGCAAAGATCCTAAGGCTGAAATCCTCAGCCCAACACGCTAGTATGTGAGGGCAAAGTAAGTTGATTAAAGCAAAGAGATACAGGAATAAATATATGAGTACAAAGAATATGAAGAGACATTATAACTACTTTACTGTTGCGGTTCGATACAGTGCGACTCGGGCAACTGCTCAATGTCGAGTCAGTTGTGTGTCCTTGCTGTCGCGCTGCGTCAGGTCAAAGGTCGCTGACCTTTGACTTTCTCGTAACCTCCAGCGGTTACGTTAACTTCCGAGGGTTGACTCGCGATTCTTCGATTTGAGCTGCTTCGCTTGTGTCTTGAGTTCTGACACGACAGAGGCGCTTAAACTATTTGTTCCCAACACTCCCCTTCGCTTCTGGAGTGTCGCTGATGGTGACGTGGCTTTGTCCAGTCAGCAGCATGCAGTACTCGAACTTCTGTTTTCCGAGCTTCTTGGTCTAGTCAGCTACCATCTCAGACGTGGGACAGTAGGATAGTTTGAGTTTCCCTTTCTCGATCTCGTCCTTCACGAAGTAGTATCGCATGGCGATATGCTTCATTCTGTTCGCGTATCCGCTCTTGTTGGCGATGCGAATTGCAGATTGGTTGTCGCAGAACAAAGTGAAGTTGGGTAACTCGGCTAACTTCGCTTCTTCTAGCAGCTCGCGAAGGTAGAGTCCTTCCTTAGTGGCTGAGCAAAGGGCGATATATTCTGCTTCAGCTGAAGAGAGAGCAATTAGTTCCTGCTTGCTCGATTGCCAGGAGATAGGTCCGATAGGTTCGAGGCGGTA